CACCAGAGGGGTGTCTCCATTTATTTTATGGGAAAACCCAACAATCACATTCTCACCTGGATCTCAGCGTCAGAGGTGATTTGTATGATACTGCAATAATAAAAATTTATATTCAAAAGTCCCTTTTGTTCCTACAGACGAGTGTCCGTCTCTTTCTACCGTCTTCTGTTAATTGGGTTAATCAGGGTGACAGTGAGGTGGGTGTAAGCTGAGGGTCTTTATGGTTTCGTCTCTATATACAATATGGCTTCTCTGAGTGGAAGAGACACAGAAAATCAACACAGTCGTCGAGAGAAAGACACAGAGCAGAGTTCATTATTGTTGAAGAGAGGGAACGTCTTGAGGGACGAGCAGTCAAAAGTTTCCACGTCCCGTTTTCTTAGAGAATCAGTGTCACTCGTCCACAACAGGCAGACAACGATTCCCTACGGCAGCGACTCGTCACATACTTTAGATCTCAGTTATTCAACTCATTGTCCAATTAGTAATGTCCTTAGAGGCGTAATGTCCTGCCACTTCTGTCCGTCCTGCCCTTTTCAATGTCTCTCTTTCTGTTCTGTCACCCGCTCCATCCTTCATTTTCATCTTCCCCTCTCGCCTCCTCCCCTCTGACTCTCTCAGTCCTCCTCCGAGCCTGCGGCCCCCCTCAGTCCATTCATACAGAAGGGCAGGCCGGAGGAGAAAGGGCTGTCAGACGGGGAGAAACCACTGAAGGGTGGCAGCCCGGCCAGCCGCTGCAGGTGGGGGAAGAAGGCTGGCGGGGGTCCCTTGTGGTGGTCTGAGCGTAGCTGCAGGCCATCACTGTGTCCCGCGCTGTGGTGGTGGGATGGAGGCAGCTCAGGTGGAGCGTAGCGGATGGTGCTGGGGGCGTAGAGGCTCTGAGGACCCTGTGGGCTGAGGGCAAGGGGGTGAAAGAGGACCCGCCCCGCAGCACCACCTGCAGCCAGTCTCTGCAGTAGCTCAAAGTCAGGACTGCTACCTGGGCAGCCGCCTCCTCGACTGACCACACCCGACACAGCCCTCTCCTCGCGGGGCAGCGGAGAGGACACAGACATGGCGGGGGACAAAGCAGGGGATGGCGGAGTGAACAAACCTTTAGGAGGGGCTTCGCTGCTGGAAGAGGAGTCAGGGATCGGGGTGGTGGGGCTGTCGCCGTTGAGACTGCTGGAGGGTGTGTGGGCATGTGAGGGTTGGTGCTGGGTGGGGTGAGAGGTGGAGGTTTGTGTGTGTGACCCCCAGCGACCCCCGGTGGTGAGGGAGTCATGCTCAGTCTTGATGCTGGGGTTGCCAGTCAGAGGAGACGGGGTCACTACACTCTTCAGCTGTTGAATCACAGCCCGGCCGTTGTGCGCCCTCCCTCCTCTCTCCCCTCTGGTCGGGGTGTCTCCCCCCCTGTTCTGTTTGCCTCCAACCCCACCGTCTTCCTGTTTCAGTCTGTCACTGTCTCCCCCCTGCTCCCACTCTGTTTCTTCCTCTTCCTCCCCCTCGCTATCACTCGCCAGGTCAGAGGAGGCAGACACGCTCTCTTCTACGTGACGGAGTTCCTCCAGTCTGCGGCGGGTTTCGGGTGGAGCACCCTCTGGGTCGGACCTCAGGAGGCGCTTCCTCCTGTCCTCTGATTGGATGGCGGCGGCAGTGAATTTCTCTCTCCCTTTAGTGTCGGGGTCACTCTTCCCTGCTGAGCCCTTTACTGGCTGTGAACCTGAAGGAGGAAGGGAGATTTTTATGATAAGGAGCCACAGATGCAGGTGTTTCTGTGTGTTAGTGGGCATCATGGGAAGGGAGTAGAGTGTGTGTGTGTGTGTGTGTG